TCTTCTCTTTGAGGGGTCAATCTTCAAGACAAGACAAAGTTACAGTGCAGTACAATACATAACCCCAAATCCCTCCCGCGGTTCCTGCACGTGGAACATCCGCTAAAAGACATTTGCTGGATTATCTCAGGCAGTCAGAGCTAAGTCCCGTTTCACAGTGCACCTGCTGCTGTGAGCCCCTTGCTCTCCCACACACACCGTGAATCTGACTTCTCCATAGCAAAGTAGAAAAATCCCCTCATCATAACAAGATTGGAAATCAGTGAGATTAAAAGTCACATTATTATTCCCTATGGATCTCAGATGGAAGTTTATGTTTGCGGCCTTTCCCTGGTTGTGAGAGAGCAGTGTCAGATCCTAACAATTCATGATGAAACGGGGGTAGAGTAGACAGCAAATGAGACACTGGGGAAGACAGAGCTGAGGAAGGAAAGAGGGACATAAGTCTTGGACTTACCACAATGATCAGGAGAGCCGAGTGGAAGAAGCTGGATAGAGAGCTGTGAAGCCCTCAGCTCTTTTATACATGTCCTCTGCTGCCTGGGGCAGTGGCCAGCGTCAGCCAAAGATGTCTCAGCTGATGATGAAATCAAGCGGTGAAGCCTCATGAAGCAAAGTGAATCCATCCTCACTGTGAGAGTAGTGAGCAAATGTGCCCTGGAGAGCAAACAGGGAATGGAGGGACAGACCATGACACGCCATGACATGAATGACAAGGCAACGCTTTAGCTGACCTCATGGCACCAATAAACCCCGATCGATCCCTGATCCTCCCCCATGCATGTGCCAGAGTCTTGGGCACCTTTCAATCCTGGGCAGAGCCATCACGCCTGCATTACCTCTCTTTTACAGGGCGGTGAACAGAGGCATGAGGAGTTTGGCCAAATAGAGAAGCCATTCTACATGCTTGGAATGGGTCCCAAAGGGCCACCATCTTCCAATGCACTTTTTGGAAAACAGGTCAGGAGCATCCTTTAGCCATCTCCGTGACCTTGCTTGTCAGGGTGGGATTGAGGATCCTGATCGACAGCAATAGAAAGAGTAGTAGCTGTACTTCCTGTGTGGGACAGGAACCGCACGCTGGGAGATCAGCAGTGCCACGTTACGGGAGCAGTGAGATCCGGCAGCAGGATCATGTGTGAGAGGGTGATGTGCACAAAGTGGCGGGAGGGCAGGAAGGGTACTAGGATTCCCCTAACTTCCTTGGCCACGTGTCTGTGCGTGTGGTTGTCCTTGATCCCTTTCTGGAGGGTCTCAATTTCTCAGCTGGACATTGAGGACTGCATAACAAGAGGCTGGTGAGCACCCACAGAGTGCCAGGGTGCACGTGGCCACGCTCTCCAAAGGCACAGACATGCTGGGCTCTGCTGGCTTACTCAGCAGTGGGGCTGTTGCTGAGGGCAGCATGGCTGGACACTGCAATCTTCTGCAAGATGCCTGTGACATTTCCATGTAGGCAAAGCGGGGGATTACTGACAGATACCTCTTTGAGAAGCTGCAGTGTCAGCTAAATCAGAAAGTTGTTTATCATGGAATGTGAAGTGCATATGCCATCACCTAGATGCACTCCAGGGGACCTTCGCATATGGAATGGCTTCTCCCTTCACCCAAATTCCCAATACCTTTATTGATCACCTTGTAAAAGAGAGGTAATCACAGGCGTGATGGCTGTGCCCAGGATTTGCAAAGCACTTCTGCAAGGTACTCAAGACTCCAACACATGAGCAAAGTGGGAGGATTAGGGACCAATCGGGGTTTATTGGTGCCATGAGGTCAGCTACAGCATCACACCTCCTTTCATGTCATGGTGTGTCATTGTCATTCCCATTCCCTGTTTGCTCTTCAGGGCACGTTTGCTGGCTACTCTCCCCAATGATGATAGATTAATTTTGCTTTATGAGGCATCACTGCTTGATTTCATCATTAGCTGGGGCTTCTGTCGCTGACCATTGCCACTGCCCCAGGCAGTCTTAGCTATGTATAAAGCTGAGGGTTTCACAGCTCTCTATCCTGCTTCATTCATTCGACTCTCCTGATCGTTGCGGTAAGTCCAAGACTTATGTCCCTCTTTCCTTCTTCAGCTCTATCTTCCTCAACGTCTCTTCCTCTGTCTCCCACACCTCCGTTTCATCATGAATAGTTACGCCCTGATAGCGCTCTCTCACAAGCAGGGAAAGGCTGCGAATTTAAATTCCCAACAAAGATCCACAGGGAATAATAATGCACCTTTGGATCTCATCAATTGCCGATCTTCATTTGTTGAGGGGGCTTTTCTTATTCCTATGGGTGAGACAGGCTGAAGAAATGTGTGAGAGAGCAAGGGCTTTTCAGCAGCACGTCCACTGTGTAATTGGACTTTGCTTTGACTGCCTGAAATGATCCAGGCAATGTCCCGGAGCAGAGGTTGCAACTGCAGGAGTGAGGAGGGATTTGGGGTTATGCCTTGTACTGCACCGTAACTCTCCCGTCTCTTGCAGCTTGTCCTCCCGAAGAAAAGAATGTCCTGCTCAAGCCTGTGCGTCCCCTCCTGTGGGGTGGCCGCCCCACGCCCCCTGGCTGACACCACCAACGAGCCCTGTGTGCGTCAGTGCCAGAGCTCCTCGGTGGTGATCCAGCCCCCAGCCACGGTGGTCACCTTCCCCGGACCCATCCTCAGCTCCTTCCCGCAGCAAAGCGCTGTGGGCTCAGCGGGAGTCCCTGCCATTGCTGGGGGCTCCGGTGGCAGTTATGGAGGCCATGGTGGTTATGGAGGCTCTGGTGGCTACGGAGGCCTTGGTGGCTATGGGGGCTATGGAGGCTACGGTAGCTGTGGAGGATATGGCGGCTGGGGCCGAGGCCTCATGTCCTTCGGTGCCAGCTGTGGGATCTGCTAAGCCCCACCTGCCTCCTGCTACAGATGACAGAGTTCTCCAAGAAAGCCACTTGCACTTCCCAACTGATGATGCCCAAAGAAAAACATCCTTTCAGCACTGCTGGGTTCCAGAGGTTGGGGGCCTGGTACTTGTTGATGGCCAACTCTAAGTATTTTATGCCCCAATTCAGTATCTCTTTAGGGCATGCTTCCTATGAGAATGCAGCCCCATGATGGGTGCCTGCTCCTGCAGCATGCCTAATGCTCTTTGCGGCTCTGCCCATTGCCTGGAGACGCAGACTTCTCTTGGTCGGGGTTCTGCACTTGTCCCAGCTCCTTCCCTTCTCAAACTGCAATAAAAGCTGTCTTGCATCCCATTGTTCTCCCTCGATTTTATTCTATTGCCTCCACATGCAATACCCCAGGTAGCAGCATGGGTTCTCCTGTGTTTTCAAGAGAGCTCCCAGACACTGCCTTCTCAGAGGGACCTTTGGAAGCTGCTTGGCTTCCTCCTGCCTTCCATCAGGAGTCAACAGATTGCTCAGAGACAGTTACGGTGAGCAGGGACCATGCTCATCTCCACTAACAACAGTTGCTCCCTCTGCCATCTCTCTCATCTCTCAGCATTAGGCTCCTGCCCTCTGCAGCACAAAAAGGCATGAGGGGCTCCACACATATTTTCTTGCCCACTCACTTCATTACTCATTGGCTGCCTGCAGCGCCAGGACCCCCGCATGGACATGGCAGGAGACACAGCCCAAGGGCAAAGAGCCAGCTCAAGGCCTCTTGTAAGGCCACTGCTCAAAGGGGGAGAGAGTAAACACTTCCCAACACCTCCCCAAATGCCTTGCCACCACATTCTTGCATCCCTGCACAATCTCCACACCCAGTTTTCCCTCTGTCTCCCAGTATTCCTTGGAAAACATTTGCCTTGTCTGCGCCAGCTGCTGTAGGTGAAGATCTTGCCAGCCACTTCTGTGTCACCCACCTTCAGCTTGCAGACATGGCTATGGCAAGGAATGACAGGAGAGATTTTTAAAGCCACATTCCCTGGAACCACCTTTGGGGGCTTTTCTGCCCTTCCTCACATAGAAGAATAATGTAGACCACGCTGTCACACACACCTCCAAAAGTCAACAGGCCGCAGCAGTGATGACAGCTATGACGTACCCGCCAGTACGTGTCCCTGTAGGGAGACACGCACGCATGCCACCATGTGAGCCAGCACATAGCACAGGCCTGAGAAACAGTTCACAGCAAACTGAAAAGATATGGGGATGGATGATGCCTCTTTTCCTGAGGTCCCCAGAAATGACCAACCTGGTGCTACACTGCCCTTCCTGATGGCTTTAGCAGGAGTTGTCTTTGTGCAAGACCAATGTGCAGGGATGGGATCCCACAATGAGAAGTTACCTGGGTAAGGGAGGAATCTCATCAGTGTTGGCATTGCAGCTTTCCTCTCAAATAGCTTTATGTTTCATGCAACTTGGATACCCAGGGACAAATCATGGCTTGGAGAGACACTTGCGAACATTTGCCTGTGTCTATCACCCCCCTTCCTGCTGGTCCCAATCACTCTTCGAGCACGGGGACATGTCCAACATGTGGCAGGAGCACTGTACATGCACAGATATTCCCTTCATTCCCCTGGACATCCCAATATGATCAATTTATGGTTTAGTGTGAGGTGTCCCGCTCACAGCAAGGGTTTGCAACTAGATGATCTTAAGGTCATTTCCAACCCTAAATATTCTAGGATTCTATAACAAGGCAAGAAAAGGAGGCCACGGAAGCATGCGAGTTTTGAGGAGGATTTGAAAGATCTTCCTCCATACCCCTGTGGCTCCTTCCCTTCATATCTTCCAAAAAGGCAAAGGCAATATTTTGTGTTCGCTGCTGTTGGGAAACCAGAAAAAGGTCTTTCAAGCAGAGGCTTAGGGCACATGGAAAGAAGCAAGGATCAGGAAAACACAGAGGTCGACATTGCAGTGCAGCACAGAATTTATTGCCGTTTAAGAGGGGTAAAGAGTTGGGCAAGAGCAGGGCCCCAACCAAGGTCAGCCCACATCTCCAGGTGGTGGACTGAGAAACAAAGAGCATAAACCATGCCGTAGGAGCAGGTGCTCAGTGCAGGTCTCTGTCATCAGGGGTAACCAGCCTATTGAAAGGATGCTCAAGCAGAGCAGGAGGAAGACAGATTTGGACAACAAGAAAGCACGAGGCATCCAAGCTCTGGATTCCAGCAGTGCTGAAGGCGTGTTCTTCCAATGGGCAACATCAAGTTGGGATACGCCAAGGTCTTTCCTGGAGCTCTGTGTCATCTGTGGCCGGCACCAGGTGAGGCTTAGCAGCTCCCACAGCTGGCACCAAAGGACATGAGGCCTCGGCCCCAGCCGCCATATCCTCCACAGCTACCGTAGCCTCCATAGCCCCCATAGCCACCAAGGCCTCCGTAGCCACCAGAGCCACCATAACCACCACGGCCTCCATAACTGCCACCGGAGCCCCCAGCAATGGCAGGGACTCCCGCTGAGCCCACAACGCTGTGCTGCGGGAAGGAGCTGAGGATGGGTCCGGGCAAGGTGACCACCGTGGCTGGGGGCTGGATCACCACCGAGGAGCTCTGGCACTGACGCACGCAGGGCTCGTTGGTGGTGTCAGCCAGGGGGCATGGGGCGGCCATCCCACAGGAAGGGGCACACAGGCTGGAGCAGGACATTCTTCTCTTTGAGGGGTCAATCTTCAAGACAAGACAAAGTTACAGTGCAGTACAATACATAACCCCAAATCCCTCCCGCGGTTCCTGCACGTGGAACATCCGCTAAAAGACATTTGCTGGATTATCTCAGGCAGTCTGAGCTAAGTCCCGTTTCACAGTGCACCTGCTGCTGTGAGCCCCTTGCTCTCCCACACACACCGTGAATCTGACTTCCCCATAGCAAAGTAGAAAATTCCCCTCATCATAACAAGATTGGAAATCAGTGAGATTAAAAGTCACATTATTATTCCCTATGGATCTCAGATGGAAGTTTACGTTTGCGGCCTTTCCCTGGTTGTGAGAGAGCAGTGTCAGATCCTAACAATTCATGATGAAACGGGGGTAGAGTAGACAGCAAATGAGACACTGGGGAAGACAGAGCTGAGGAAGGAAAGAGGGACATAAGTCTTGGACTTACCACAATGATCAGGAGAGCCGAGTGGAAGAAGCTGGATAGAGAGCTGTGAAGCCCTCAGCTCTTTTATACATGTCCTCTGCTGCCTGGGGCAGTGGCCAGCGTCAGCCAAAGATGTCTCAGCTGATGATGAAATCAAGCGGTGAAGCCTCATGAAGCAAAGTGAATCCATCCTCACTGTGAGAGTAGTGAGCAAATGTGCCCTGGAGAGCAAACAGGGAATGAAGGGAGCAGACCATGACACGCCATGACATGAATGACAAGGCAACGCTTTAGCTGACCTCATGGCACCAATAAACCCCGATGGATCCCTGATCCTCCCCCATGCATGTGCCAGAGTCTTGGGCACCTTTCAATCCTGGGCAGAGCCATCACACCTGCATTACCTCTCTTACAGGGCGCTGAACAGAGGCATGAGGAGTTTGGCCAAATAGAGAAGCCATTCTACATGCTTGGAATGGGTCCCAAAGGGCCACCATCTTCCAATGCACTTTTTGGAAAACAGGTCAGGAGCATCCTTTAGCCATCTCCGTGACCTTGCTTGTCAGGGTGGGATTGAGGATCCTGATCGACAGCAATAGAAAGAGTAGTAGCTGTACTTCCTGTGTGGGACAAGAACCACACGCTGGGAGATCAACAGTGCCACGTTACGGGAGCAGTGAGATCCGGCAGCAGGATCATGTGTGAGAGGGTGATGTGCACAAAGTGGCGGGAGGGCAGGAAGGGTACTAGGATTCCCCTAACTTCCTTGGCCACGTGTCTGTGCGTGTGGTTGTCCTTGATCCCTTTCTGGAGGGTCTCCATTTCTCAGCTGGACATTGAGGACTGCATAACAAGAGGCTGGTGAGCACCCACAGAGTGCCAGGGTGCACGTGGCCACGCTCTCCAAAGGCACAGGCATGCTGGGCACTGCTGGCTTACTCAGCAGTGGGGCTGTTGCTGAGGGCAGCATGGCTGGACACTGCAATCTTCTGCAAGATGCCTGTGACATTTCCATGTAGGCAAAGCGGGGGATTACTGACAGATACCTCTTTAAGAAGCTGCAGTGTCAGCTAAATCAGAAAGTTGTTTATCATGGAATGTGAAGTGCATATGCCATCACCTAGATGCACTCCAGGGGACCTTCGCATATGGAATGGCTTCTCCCTTCACCCAAATTCCCAATACCTTTATTGATCACCTTGTAAAAGAGAGGTAATCACAGGCGTGATGGCTGTGCCCAGGATTTGCAAAGCACTTCTGCAAGGTACTCAAGACTCCAACACATGAGCAAAGTGGGAGGATTAGGGACCAATCGGGGTTTATTGGTGCCATGAGGTCAGCTACAGCATCACACCTCCTTTCATGTCATGGTGTGTCATTGTCATTCCCATTCCCTGTTTGCTCTTCAGGGCACGTTTGCTCGCTACTCTCCCCAATGATGATAGATTAATTTTGCTTTATGAGGCATCACTGCTTGATTTCATCATTAGCTGGGGCTTCTGTCGCTGACCATTGCCACTGCCCCAGGCAGTCTTGGCTATGTATAAAGCTGAGGGTTTCACAGCTCTCTATCCTGCTTCATTCATTCGACTCTCCTGATCGTTGCGGTAAGTCCAAGACTTATGTCCCTCTTTCCTTCTTCAGCTCTATCTTCCTCAACGTCTCTTCCTCTGTCTCCCACACCTCCGTTTCATCATGAATAGTTACGCCCTGATAGCGCTCTCTCACAAGCAGGGAAAGGCTGCGAATTTAAATTCCCAACAAAGATCCACAGGGAATAATAATGCACCTTTGGATCTCATCAATTGCCGATCTTCATTTGTTGAGGGGGCTTTTCTTATTCCTATGGGTGAGACAGGCTGAAGAAATGTGTGAGAGAGCAAGGGCTTTTCAGCAGCACATCCACTGTGTAATTGGACTTTGCTTTGACTGCCTGAAATGATCCAGGCAATGTCCCGGAGCAGAGGTTGCAACTGCAGGAGTGAGGAGGGATTTGGGGTTATGCCTTGTACTGCACCGTAACTCTCCCGTCTCTTGCAGCTTGTCCTCCCGAAGAAAAGAATGTCCTGCTCCAGCCTGTGCGTCCCCTCCTGTGGGGTGGCCGCCCCATGCCCCCTGGCTGACACCACCAACGAGCCCTGTGTGCGTCAGTGCCAGAGCTCCTCGGTGGTGATCCAGCCCCCAGCCACGGTGGTCACCTTCCCCGGACCCATCCTCAGCTCCTTCCCGCAGCAAAGCGCTGTGGGCTCAGCTGGAGTCCCTGCCATTGCTGGGGGCTCCGGTGGCAGTTATGGAGGCCATGGTGGTTATGGAGGCTCTGGTGGCTACGGAGGCCTTGGTGGCTATGGGGGCTATGGAGGCTACGGTAGCTGTGGAGGATATGGCGGCTGGGGCCGAGGCCTCATGTCCTTTGGTGCCAGCTGTGGGATCTGCTAAGCCCCACCTGCCTCCTGCTACAGATGACAGAGTTCTCCAAGAAAGCCACTTGCACTTCCCAACTGATGATGCCCAAAGAAAAACATCCTTTCAGCACTGCTGGGTTCCAGAGGTTGGGGGCCTGGTACTTGTTGATGGCCAACTCTAAGTATTTTATGCCCCAATTCGGTATCTCTTTAGGGCATGCTGCCTATGACAATGCAGCCCCATGATGGGTGCCTGCTCCTGCAGCATGCCTAATGCTCTTTGCGGCTCTGCCCATTGCCTGGAGACGCAGGCTTCTCTTGGTCGGGGTTCTGCACTTCTCCAAGCTCCTTCCCTTCTCAAACTGCAATAAAAGCTGTGTTGCATCCCATTGTTCTCCCTCGATTTTATTCTATTGCCTCCACATGCAATACCCCAGGTAGCAGCATGGGTTCTCCTGTGTTTTCAAGAGAGCTCCCAGACACTGCCTTCTCAGAGGGACCTTTGGAAGCTGCTTGCCTTCCTCCTGCCTTCCATCAGGAGTCAACAGATTGCTCAGAGACAGTCACGGTGAGCAGGGACCATGCTCATCTCCACTAACAACAGTTGCTCCCTCTGCCATCTCTCTCATCTCTCAGCATTAGGCTCCTGCCCTCTGCAGCACAAAAAGGCATGAGGGGCTCCACACATATTTTCTTGCCCACTCACTTCATTACTCATTGGCTGCCTGCAGCGCCAGGACCCCCGCATGGACATGGCAGGAGACACAGCCCAAGGGCAAAGAGCCAGCTCAAGGCCTCTTGTAAGGCCACTGCTCAAAGGGGGAGAGAGTAAACACTTCCCAACACCTCCCCAAATGCCTTGCCACCACATTCTTGCATCCCTGCACAATCTCCACACCCAGTTTTCCCTCTGTCTCCCAGTATTCCTTGGAAAACATTTGCCTTGTCTGCGCCAGCTGCTGTAGGTGAAGATCTTGCCAGCCACTTCTGTGTCACCCACCTTCAGCTTGCAGACATGGCTATGGCAAGGAATGACAGGAGAGATTTTTAAAGCCACATTCCCTGGAACCACCTTTGGGGGCTTTTCTGCCCTTCCTCACATAGAAGACCATAATGTAGACCACGCTGTCACACACCTCCCAAAGCATCCAGCCGCAGCAGTCGTGACAGGCTCTAACATACCCGCCAGTACGTGTCCTCTAGGGAGACACGCATGCCACCGTGTGAGCCAGCACATAGCACAGGCCTGAGAAACAGTTCACAGCAAACTGAAAAGATATGGGGACGGATGTTGCCTCTTTTCCTGAGGTCCCCAGAAATGACCAACCTGGTGCTACACTGCCCTTCCTGATGGCTTTAGCAGGAGTTGTCTTTGTGCAAGACCAATGTGCAGGGATGGGATCCCACAATGAGAAGTTACCTGGGTAAGGGAGGAATCTCATCAGTGTTGGCATTGCAGCTTCCCTCTCAAATAGCTTTATGTTTCATGCAACTTGGATACCCAGGGACAAATCATGGCTTGGAGAGACACTTGCGAACATTTGCCTGTGTCTATCACCCCCCTTCCTGCTGGTCCCAATCACTCTTTGAGCACGGGGACATGTCCAAAATGTGGCAGGAGCACTTTACATGCACAGATATTCCCTTCAGTCCCCTGGACATCCCAATATGATCAATTTATGGTTTAGTGTGAGGTGTCCCGCTCACAGCAAGCGTTTGCAACTAGATGATCTTAAGGTCATTTCCAACCCTAAATATTCTAGGATTCTATAACAAGGCAAGAAAAGGAGGCCACGGAAGCATGCGAGTTTTGAGGAGGATTTGAAAGATCTTCCTCCATACCCCTGCGGCTCCTTCCCTTCATATCTTCCAAAAAGGCATAGGCAATATTTTGTGTTCGCTGCTGTTGGGAAACCAGAAAAAGGTCTTCCAAGCAGAGGCTTAGGGCACATGGAAAGAAGCGAGGATCAGGAAAACACAGGGGTCGACATTGCAGTGCAGCACAGAATTTATTGCCGTTTAAGAGGGGTAAAGAGTTGGGCAAGAGCAGGGCCCCAACCAAGGTCAGCCCACGTCTCCAGGTAGTGGACTGAGAAACAAAGAGCATAAACCATGCCGTAGGAGCAGGTGCTCAGTGCAGGTCTCTGTCATCAGGGGTAACCAGCCTATTGAAAGGATGCTCAAGCAGAGCAGGAGGAAGGCAAATTTGGACGACAAGAAAGCACGAGGCATCCAAGCTCTGGATTCCAGCCGTGCTGAAGGCATGTTCTTCCAATGGGCAACATCAAGTTGGGATACGCCAAGGTCTTTCCTGGAGCTCTGTGTCATCTGTGGCCGGCACCAGGTAAGGCTTAGCAGCTCCCACAGCTGGCACCAAAGGACATGAGACCTCGGCCCCAGCCGCCATATCCTCCACAGCTACCGTAGCCTCCATAGCCCCCATAGCCACCAAGGCCTCCGTAGCCACCAGAGCCACCATAACCACCACGGCCTCCATAACTGCCACCGGAGCCCCCAGCAATGGCAGGGACTCCCGCTGAGCCCACAACGCTGTGCTGCGGGAAGGAGCTGAGGATGGGTCCGGGGAAGGTGACCACCGTGGCTGGGGGCTGGATCACCACCGAGGAGCTCTGGCACTGACGCACGCAGGGCTCGTTGGTGGTGTCAGCCAGGGGGCATGGGGCGGCCATCCCACAGGAAGGGGCACACAGGCTGGAGCAGGACATTCTTCTCTTTGAGGGGTCAATCTTCAAGACAAGACAAAGTTACAGTGCAGTACAATACATAACCCCAAATCCCTCCCGCGGTTCCTGCACGTGGAACATCCGCTAAAAGACATTTGCTGGATTATCTCAGGCAGTCAGAGCTAAGTCCCGTTTCACAGTGCACCTGCTGCTGTGAGCCCCTTGCTCTCCCACACACACCGTGAATCTGACTTCCCCATAGCAAAGTAGAAAATTCCCCTCATCATAACAAGATTGGAAATCAGTGAGATTAAAAGTCACATTATTATTCCCTATGGATCTCAGATGGAAATTTACGTTTGCAGCTTTTCCCTGGTTGTGAGAGAGCAGTGTCAGATCCTAACAATTCATGATGAAATGGGGGTAGAGTAGACAGCAAATGAGACACTGGGGAAGACAGAGCTGAGGAAGGAAAGAGGGACATAAGTCTTGGACTTACCACAATGATCAGGAGAGCCGAGTGGAAGAAGCTGGATAGAGAGCTGTGAAGCCCTCAGCTCTTTTATACATGTCCTCTGCTGCCTGGGGCAGTGGCCAGCGTCAGCCAAAGATGTCTCAGCTGATGATGAAATCAAGCGGTGAAGCCTCATGAAGCAAAGTGAATCCATCCTCACTGTGAGAGTAGTGAGCAAATGTGCCCTGGAGAGCAAACAGGGAATGGAGGGACAGACCATGACACGCCATGACATGAATGACAAGGCAACGCTTTAGCTGACCTCATGGCACCAATAAACCCCGATCGATCCCTGATCCTCCCCCATGCATGTGCCAGAGTCCTGGGCACCTTTCAATCCTGGGCAGAGCCATCACGCCTGCATTACCTCTCTTTTACAGGGCGCTGAACAGAGGCATGAGGAGTTTGGCCAAATAGAGAAGCCATTCTACATGCTTGGAATGGGTCCCAAAGGGCCACCATCTTCCAATGCACTTTTTGGAAAACAGGTCAGGAGCATCCTTTAGCCATCTCCGTGACCTTGCTTGTCAGGGTGGGATTGAGGATCCTGATCGACAGCAATAGAAAGAGTAGTAGCTGTACTTACTGTGTGGGACAAGAACCGCACGCTGGGAGATCAGCAGTGCCACGTTACGGGAGCAGTGAGATCCGGCAGCAGGATCATGTGTGAGAGGGTGATGTGCACAAAGTGGCGGGAGGGCAGGAAGGGTACTAGGATTCCCCTAACTTCCTTGGCCACGTGTCTGTGCGTGTGGTTGTCCTTGATCCCTTTCTGGAGGGTCTCCATTTCTCAGCTGGACATTGAGGACTGCATAACAAGAGGCTGGTGAGCACCCACAGAGTGCCAGGGTGCACGTGGCCACGCTCTCCAAAGGCACAGGCATGCTGGGCACTGCTGGCTTACTCAGCAGTGGGGCTGTTGCTGAGGGCAGCATGGCTGGACACTGCAATCTTCTGCAAGATGCCTGTGACATTTCCATGTAGGCAAAGCGGGGGATTACTGACAGATCCTCTTTGTCAGCTTTGCAGTGTCAGCTTGAATGAAAGTTGTTTATCATGGAATGTGAAGTGCATATGCCATCACCTATATGCACTCCAGGGGACCTTCGCATCTGGAATGGCTTCTCCCTTCACCCAAATTCCCAATACCTTTATTGATCACTGTAAAGAGAGGTAATCACAGGCGTGATGGCTGTGCCAGGATACTTGCAAAGCACTTCTGCAAGGTACTCAAGACTCCAACACATGAGCAAAGTGGGAGGATTAGAGACCAAGTGAGGGGTTTATTGGTGCCATGAGGTCAGCTACAGCATCACACCTCCTTTCATGTCATGGTGTGTCATTGTCATTCCCAGTCCCTGTTTGCTCTTCAGGGCACGTTTGCTGGCTACTCTCCCCAATGATGATAGATTAATTTTGCTTTATGAGGCATCACTGCTTGATTTCATCATTAGCTGGGGCTTCTGTCGCTGACCATTGCCACTGCCCCAGGCAGTCTTGGGCATGTATAAAGCTGAGGGTTTCCCAGCTCTCTATCCTGCTTCATTCATTCGACTCTCCTGATCGTTGCGGTAAGTCCAAGACTTATGTCCCTCTTTCCTTCTTCAGCTCTATCTTCCTCAACGTCTATTCCTCTGTCTCCCACACCTCCATTTGATCATGAATAGTTACGCCCTGATAGCGCTCTCTCACAAGCAGGGAAAGGCTGCGAATTTAAATTCCCAACAAAGATCCACGGGGAATAATAATGCACCTTTGGATCTCATCAACTGCCTATCTTCATTTGTTGAGGGGGCTTTTCTTGTTCCTATGGTTGAGACAGGCTGAAGAAATGTGTGAGAGAGCAAGGGCTTTTCAGCAGCACATCCACTGTGTAATTGGACTTTGCTTTGACTGCCTGAAATGATCCAGGCAATGTCCCGGAGCAGAGGTTGCAACTGCAGGAGTGAGGAGGGATTTGGGGTTATGCCTTGTACAGCACCGTAACTCTCCCGTCTCTTGCAGCTTGTCCTCCCGAAGAAAAGAATGTCCTGCTCAAGCCTGTGCGTCCCCTCCTGTGGGGTGGCCGCCCCACGCCCCCTGGCTGACACCACCAACGAGCCCTGTGTGCGTCAGTGCCAGAGCTCCTCGGTGGTGATCCAGCCCCCAGCCACGGTGGTCACCTTCCCCGGACCCATCCTCAGCTCCTTCCCGCAGCACAGCGCTGTGGGCTCAGCGGGAGTCCCTGCCATTGCTGGGGGCTCCGGTGGCAGTTATGGAGGCCGTGGTGGTTATGGTGGCTCTGGTGGCTACGGAGGCCTTGGTGGCTATGGGGGCTATGGAGGCTACGGTAGCTGTGGAGGATATGGCGGCTGGGGCCGAGGCCTCATGTCCTTTGGTGCCAGCTGTGGGATCTGCTAAGCCCCACCTGCCTCCTGCTACAGATGACAGAGTTCTCCAAGAAAGCCACTTGCACTTCCCAACTGATGATGCCCAAAGAAAAACATCCTTTCAGCACTGCTGGGTTCCAGAGGTTGGGGGCCTGGTACTTGTTGATGGCTAACTCTAAGTATTTTATGCCCCAATTCAGTATCTCTTTAAGGCATGCTTCCTATGAGAATGCAGCCCCATGATGGGTGCCTGCTCCTGCAGCATGCCTAATGCTCTTTGCGGCTCTGCCCATTGCCTGGAGATGCAGGCTTCTCTTGGTCGGGGTTCTGCACTTGTCCCAGCTCCTTCCCTTCTCAAACTGCAATAAAAGCTGTGTTGCATCCCATTGTTCTCCCTCGATTTTATTCTATTGCCTCCACATGCAATACCCTAGGTAGCAGCATGGGTTCTCCTGTGTTTTCAAGAGAGCTCCCAGACACTGCCTTCTCAGAGGGACCTTTGGAAGCTGCTTGCCTTCCTCCTGCCTGCCCTCTGGAGTCAACAGATTGCTCAGAGACAGTTACGGTGAGCAGGGACCATGCTCATCTCCACTAACAACAGTTGCTCCCTCTGCCATCTCTCTCATCTCTCAGCATTAGGCTCCTGCCCTCTGCAGCACAAAAAGGCATGAGGGGCTCCACACCTATTTTCTTGCCCACTCACTTCATTACTCATTGGCTGCCTGCAGCGCCAGGACCCCCGCATGGACATGGCAGGAGACACAGCCCAACGGCAAAGAGCCAGCTCAAGGCCTCTTGTAAGGCCACTGCTCAAAGGGGGAGAGAGTAAACACTTCCCAACACCTCCCCAAATGCCTTGCCACCACATTCTTGCATCCCTGCACCATCTCCACATCCAGTTTTCCCTCTGTCTCCCAGTATTCCTTGGAAAACATTTGCCTTGTCTGCGCCAGCTGCTGTAGGTGAAGATCTTGCCAGCCACTTCTGTGTCCCCCACCTTCAGCTTGCAGACATGGCTATGGCAAGGAATGACAGGAGAGATTTTTAAAGCCACATTCCCTGGAACCACCTTTGGGGGCTTTTCTGCCCTTCCTCACATAGAAGACCATAATGTAGACCACGCTGTCACACACCTCCCAAAGCATCCAGCCGCAGCAGTCGTGACAGGCTCTAACATACCCGCCAGTACGTGTCCTCTAGGGAGACACGCATGCCACCATGTGAGCCAGCACATAGCACAGGCCTGAGAAACAGTTCACAGCAAACTGAAAAGATATGGGGACGGACGATGCCTCTTTTCCTGAGGTCCCCAGAAATGACCAACCTGGTGCTACATTGCCCTTCCTGATGGCTTTAGCAGGAGTTGTCTTTGTGCAAGACCAGTGTGCAGGGATGGGATCCCACAATGAGAAGTTACCTGGGTAAGGGAGGAATCTCATCAGTGTTGGCATTGCAGCTTCCCTCTCAAATAGCTTTATGTTTCATGCAACTTGGATACCCAGGGACAAATCATGGCTTGGAGAGACACTTGGGAAGATTTGCCTGTGTCTATCACCCCCCTTCCTGCTGGTCCCAATCACTCTTTGAGCACGGGGACATGTCCAACATGTGGCAGGAGCACTGTACATGCACAGATATTCCCTTCATTCCCCTGGACATCCCAATATGATCAATTTATGGTTTAGTGTGAGGTGTCCCGCTCACAGCAAGGGTTTGCAACTAGATGATCTTAAGGTCATTTCCAACCCTAAATATTCTAGGATTCTATAACAAGGCAAGAAAAGGAGGCCACGGAAGCATGCGAGTTTTGAGGAGGATTTGAAAGATCTTCCTCCATACCCCTGCGGCTTCTTCCCTCATATCTTCCAAAAAGGCATAGGCAATATCTTGTGTTCGCTGCTGTTGGGAAACCAGAAAAAGGTCTTCCAAGCAGAGGCTTAGGGCACATGGAAAGAAACAAGGATCAGGAAAACACATTGCAGTGCAGCACAGAATTTATTGCCGTTTAAGAGGGGTAAAGAGTTGGGCAAGAGCAGGGCCCCAACCAAGGTCAGCCCACGTCTCCAGGTAGTGGACTGAGAAACAAAGAGCATAAACCATGCCGTAGGAGCAGGTGCTCAGTGCAGGTCTCTGTCATCAGGGGTAACCAGCCTATTGAAAGGATGCTCAAGCAGAGCAGGAGGAAGGCAAATTTGGACGACAAGAAGGCACGAGGCATCCAAGCTCTGGATTCCAGCAGTGCTGAAGGCATGTTCTTCCAATGGGCAACATCAAGTTGGGATACGCCAAGGTCTTTCCTGGAGCTCTGTGTCATCTGTGGCCGGCACCAGGTAAGGCTTAGCAGCTCCCACAGCTGGCACCAAAGGACATGAGGCCTCGGCCCCAGCCGCCATATCCTCCACAGCCACCGAAGCCTCCATAGCCCCCATAGCCACCAAGGCCTCCGTAGCCACCAGAGCCACCATAACCACCACGGCCTCCATAACTGCCACCGGAGCCCCCAGCAATGGCAGGGACTCCCGCTGAGCCCACAGCGCTGTGCTGCGGGAAGGAGCTGAGGATGGGTCCGGGGAAGGTGACCACCGTGGCTGGGGGCTGGATCACCACCGAGGAGCTCTGGCACTGACGCACACAGGGCTCGTTGGTGGTGTCAGCCAGGGGGCATGGGGCGGCCATCCCACAGGAAGGGGCACACAGGCTGGAGCAGGACATCTTTCAGTCTACACGGAGCCCTGGAAAATGCACCAGGGGTTAGGCGCAGGTGAGCACAAGAAACTCTATCAATGGAGGCTGGGAGAGATCTGCAAGAGGCTCAAAGAGCTGTGCTTACCTGTTTGATCAGGAGAATCAAGAGCAGGAATCTGCAGAGGCTGTGAAGTCTTCTGCCCTTTTATGCATTTCCCAGTCCGCCTGGGCATTGGGCATGGGCTGCGGTCAGAATCCACAAGGACTCATGGAAGCCAGTGAATAAACCTCATGACACACAGAATTAGACATGTAACTCTTGGCCCTCTTTATTGGGGTCAGTGTTATGCTAAGGTGCCCCAGAATGCATATGGGTGATGGGATACGGCACGACGCATTTCATGATAGAGAAGGTGCTGTTGAAGATGAGCTTGCAGCTCCAATAAATATGCATCTGTCATTAACATCAGCCCCATTTTGCCTACATAGAAGAGTCACAGACATTCCTCAGATTGCTGTACCCAGCCATGCCACCTACAGCAGGAGCCCTACTGCTGAGTGAGCCGGCAGTGCCTTGCTTGTCTGTGCCTGCGGGGAGAGTGGCTATGTGCACCCTGGCTTTCTGTAGTTTCTCAGCAGCCTCTCCTGTAGCAGCCCTCAATGTCGAGGTGAGGAACTGAGTCCCTCCAGAGAGGGCTCAAGGAGGACCACACTCACAGACACGTGGCCAAGGAAGATGGGGGAGTCCTGCTTCCCTTCCTGCCCTTGTGATGATCCTCCGTGCACGTCTGCCTCTCACACGTGACTCTGCTGTCATACCTCACTGCTCCCCAAGCACGTCAGTGTTGATCACCCAGCAAGTGGGTTTTGCCCCAGACAGTAAATGCAGCTCTTACTCTTTGTATGTTTGTCAATCGGCAAGCCTCAAACACTCCCTGATAAGCAAGGTCATAGAAATGTCTAAGATATATTCCTGACCTACTTTCCCAAAAGTGCATTGGAAGATGGTGGTCCTTTAGAACTCATTCCAAGCGTAAGGAATGGATTCTCTGTTTGCCCAACCTTCCAATGCCTCTATTGAACACCTTGTAAAAGAGAGGTAATGCAGGCGTCATGGCCTTGCCCAGGATTGCAAAGCACTCCTGCAAGGTGCCCAAGGCTCCAGCACATGAGCAAAGTGGGAGGATTAGGGATCGATCAGGGTTTATTGGTTTTGTGAGGTTAGCTATAGCATCGCCTTGTCTTTCATGTCATGGGGACACATGATCTGCCCCTCCCATTCCCATGCCCTCCAAGGCATGTTTGTTTGCTGCTCTCCCCAATGAGGATGGATTCTCTTTGTTTCATGGGGCTTCACCCCTTGATTTCATCATTAGCTGGGGCTTCTGTGAATGATGCTTGCCACTGCCCCAGGCAGTATAGGACAAGTATAAAAGAGCTGAGAGCTTCACAGCTATCCAGCTTCTTCCACTCGACTCTCCTGATCACTGTGGTAAGTCCAAGACTTATGTTCCTTTTTCTTTTCTCAGCTCTGTCTTCTTCAATGTCACTTTTGCTGTCTTTTTTACTCCCCTTACATTGTGAATATTTAGGATGTGATGGTGCTCTCTCTCAACCAGGGAAATACTGGGAACTTAAACTTGCATTAAGATCTTGCTTTAATGTTAGGGAACACTGATGCACTGTGGTGTCTTTCAATCTCATTGACTTCCCATCACCTGCTTTTGATCTCATCTATTTCCCATATTCATTTGATGAGGGGGCTTTTCTTCTTACCTATGAGGCCGTCAATCTCAGGGCACATGTGGGAGAGAAAAAGGTTTACAGCAGCAGGTCAACTGTGGAATGGGACTTAGCTCTGCCTGCCTGTGATAATACAGGAAATGTTCTGTAGAAGAGGTTCCAAGTGCAAGAGGGTCGTAAGGGATTTGGAGTTACGCCTTTGACTGTACTGTAACTCTGCCTGTCCTCCAGCTTGACCTCCTGAAGAGAAGAATGTTCTTCTAAGGCCTATGTACTCCTTTCTGTGGGGTGGCTGCTGTCCACTGGCTGACACCACCAATGAGCCCTGCGTGCGTCAGTGCCAGAGCTCCTCAGTGGTGATCCAACCCCCAGCCACAGTGGTCACCTTCCCTGGACCCATCCTCAGCTCCTTCCCTCAGCACAGTGCTGTGGGCTCAGCAGGAGTCCCTGCCATTGCTGGGGGCTACAGAGGCAGTTATGGAGGCCGTGGGGGTTATGGAGGCCTTGGTGGCTATGGAGGCCTTGGTGGCTATGGGGTCTATGGAGGCTATGGTAGCTGTGGAGGCTGTGGAGGCTTTGGCAGCTACAGAGGCTTTGGTGGCTATGGGGGCTGCAGATATGGCAGATGGGGCTGAGGCCTCATCACCTTTGGTGCCAGCTCTGGGAGCTGCTAAGCTCCACCTGATGCTCGCTTCAGATGACAGAGAGCTCCTGGAAAGACCCTGGCACATCACAGCATGATGATGCCCAAAGGAAGAACAGCCCTTCAGCACTGCTAGGATCCATAGCTTGGACGCCTCAAGCCTGTTGGAGCCTAACTCTGCCTTCCCCCTGACGCGTTTGAGCACCTCTTCAAGACTAATTGCCCCCTAATGACAGAGACACACACTGGACACCTACTCCTCTGGCACTGTTCTTTGTTGTTCTGGCCACTGCCAATAAACATGGGCTGATCTTTGCCAGGGCTTTGCTCTTCTCCCAACACCTTCCCTCTTTAAACTGCAATAAACACTGTGTTTCATCACAGTGTTGACACTTTGATTCTTCCTTCATACACAAAATCCAAAGTGGCAGTAAGGGTTCCCATGAGTGTCCCAGACAGCTCCTACCCACGGCCTTCTCATGGAGACCTTCAGAGGATCCCTGACTTCCTTCTGATTCCCTCAGAAATCACATCTTGCTACAGGAGGTTTGCCCAGAACAGGGACAGTGGTCAGCTGGAGGGACTACATCTAATCCTTCTTTCCCTCCCTTCTCTTTTCACCACCTTTGGCTCCTGTATTGTGCAGACCAAGAAGAACTGTTGTGACCTGCAGTGAGTTTGCTGACCTCTCTGGGCATTTTTCATTGGCTGCCTGCAGCCCCAACCTCCTGGATCGGCATGCCAATGCAGCCATCTCAACAGCAAAGGCCCACCTCAGAGTCACTTGGGAGAATAAAGATCAAATGGGGAGAGTGTCACCAATCCCCAGCACCTCCCCATATGCTTTGCCTCCATCACCTCCACATTCCTGCAACCTTTCACCATATTCACCTCCAGGTTTCTTCTGTCTCCCAAGGATCCTTGAAGCAGTTTTGGCCTCGTCTACTCTCACTGGGGAAGCATAAGCTTTTCTCGTCCATTCCCAGTGTCACCCACATTCAGCCTGCAAACATGCCTCTGCCCAGGAATGACAGCAGAACTTCCCCCAGTCCCATGCACTGGAACAGACTTTGCTGGACCTTTTCTTGCCCTTCCTCATATGCAGGCCCACAATGTAGCCCACACTGCCACACACCTCCCAGAACATCCAGCCACTACAGGATCACTGAAGCCCTCTTCTACCACGGTACACTCAGTACGTACACATGGGACACCAAGTGAGCCAGCACAGAGCTGATGACTGAAAGTTCAGGGAACTTGGTTAGATAAGAGGATGGATGACCCCTCTTTTCCTGGGTACCCAGCAGTGACAAACACGCTGCCACGTTCACCTTCCTGATCGCTTTGGCCAGAGCAGTGCAAGACCACTGTGTAGCGGCTAGATACAACAATAAGAAGACACTTGGAGAAGGAAGGGAGGTTTGGAGGATCAGTGGTGCAATATCTCGCTAAAAGAGCTTCGTGCTTTGTGTGACTTGGTTACCTGGGGACAAATCATAGCTCTTAGAGGTAACTTGGGAGCATTTGGCAGTGTCTACCACACACTTTCTCCCTGGGTATAGGGACATGGATGATACCTGCACTTATTGTCTACCTTTCCGTGGACCTCCCAGTGTGACCAATCCCAAGCCAACAAAAATGCGTAATGGCAGCAAGCTGGTTTGCTGAAGTCTTGGAAGAACTTCCAAAGGACCCATAAAGCATTTTCATATCTTCCAAGTGGCCTTTGAGAATACATTGTGTTTATTGCTGTAGGGACATCTAAGGAAGCTCAGCACGTTGTGCTTCACAAGACTGAGACTGAAGGTCATCAGTAGTTGGAACCCACTGACCAAGTCCTAACAGTAGTGCTACCACTGGACTACTGTGGGAGCTTCAAGCAGTGCAGACTAACGACTGGAAATTAAGGGCAAGTAGGAAAGAAAAAGGTATCAGGAAAAACCAAGGGTCACATTGCGGTGCAACACAGCTTTATTGCAGTTTGATTTGGGGAAGAAGTTTGGACAAAAGCAGAGCCCAAACCAAGGCCAGCCAAAATCTCAAGGCTGCTGGCAGAGCTACAAAGAATATCAGCCCTACCACAGAAGGCACCAAGACTGGGTCTTTGTTATCAAGGCAGCAAATATGGAAGGGATGCTCAAGAAGGGCAGAAGAAATGAAGTGTTGGCCCAGAAGAAGGAATGAGGCGTCCAAGCTCTGGATTCCAGCAGTGCAGATGAGGTGTTCTTCCTTCGGGAATCATCATGTTGGGATGTGCCAGGGGCTTTCCTAGAGCTCTCTGTTGTCTAAAGCTGGACCTGGGTAGGGCTTAGCAGCTCCCACAGCTGGCACCAAAGGGAAGGAGGCCTTGGCCCCAGCTGCCATAACCACAGCCCCCAAAGCCTCCATAGCCACCAAAGCCTCCATATCCACCAAGGCCTCCATAGCCTCCACAGCTACCATAGCCACCAAAGCCTCCAAAGCCACCAAGGCGTCCATAGCCACCATAGCCCCCATAACCTCCATAGCCCCAATAGCCACCAAGGCCTCCATAGCCACCGTAGCCCCCATAGCCGCCAAATCCACCATAGCCTCCAAAACTGCCACCGTAGCCCCCAGCAATGGCAGGGACTCCCGCTGAGCCCACAGCGCTGTGCTGCGG